AGGACGGAAAATGACAGCCTGGTGGAAAAGGGGCTGCCAGAAGCCAACATGAGCCTCTGGGCGTGAACCTGCCCTTGAGGCCCCCTTCACGTGTCTGTGCACTGGCTCTGCCCACAAGAACAGTCAGACTCAAGGAAACAGGTTAAGCTCGGACCCCTGACCAGGTCACTTGGCCATATTTGTGGTAGCTGGGTTGCCTCAACCTGACAGAGCACCATTCAGAAAGTACAGTCCACAACAAGAATGGAGAGCCTGGGATCAGGAAGAAAAGCAGCCGGTGGGGGTGGGGAAGGAGAGGGGCCAGGAGCAGAAACTACTGGCTGGTGGGGTCACAGGGGTTCGTTACTCTATCCTCCCTACTTTCATAGATATTCATACTTTCCATAATAGTGTTTAAAAATTAGGAATGAAAGCACAGCCTGGGACCCAGTTCCAGCTTCCACTGCCACTGCCAGGACTGGTGAAGTCTTACTGTACTCCATACCCTCACACCCTAAGGCGGAAAAGCATTTTTTTGTGGAAATCAGAAATCAGTGTTCAGTTACCAGAGAAGTCCCACCTCATGAGGTCACAGCTTGATGTATATCCACAAACAACATACCCATGTCACATGTCACCAGACGCAGGACACTGCCAGCCCCCCAGAGGCTCCTTGTGGCCCTCCCAGCCACCGTCTACCCCACGGGGACCCACTAGCTTGGCTTCTCGCAGCCTAGTGAATTCTGCCTGCTTTTGAACTTTACATAATAAGGATCATACAGCATGTACTGTCTCTGCAAGTGCTGCAGGATTTTACAACCCCAAATATTATAACGTTTTCTACTTCCTGGTAGGAGCCAACTCCCTGAGGCCAGCCTGCTGTAATCCTGAGAAAATGTTTGTCCTGCTAAATAAACAGCCGCGCTCTCCATGGCAACGGTTGGGTAACTGAGGAAAATGTGACCGCAGCCGTCCAAATATGGAGGGAAGGAGGTGCACCAGGGAGGCATTCTCTTGGCCTCACCAGGACACCTTTAATGCTCTCAATTCAGACTTTTAAATCCTTACATTTTTAGAACTACAAGACTTTACAGCAATAAGAAAGGCAAAAGTGTCAGCCTCCTAGCTCCAGTGGTCAGGGGCTGAGCTACTCTGAATTGCGGGAAGCTGAGGCATCTGCTCCTCCTGCACCTGGTTTCTTAAAGAGCAGATTCTGATTCCTCTATGTCACCCCAGGAAGAGCACGAGGAACCCTTCGAGGCCGGTGAGGGATCAGCACAGCAGCCCACTCTGTCTTGGGAACTACCAGCCTCTGAAAACCAAGTGGCCTTGACTCCTGTCACCCGTCACTGCTGTTCATTTACTGCTTCTAATTTGCTCTAGACTTGGAAATATGGTAACAAACTTGTTACAAATGTGTACACGATAAGCATAATGAGTTGAAAGGAGGGCCTGGTCCCTAGGGGAGAGTGCGCGGGCTTGGGGAGGGGCCCATCAGAGGCCCCCTCTAGACTGTCTGATTCTCCCTTGGTTTTGAAGGTTGGCCAGCTTTCCAGAAGTGTGGGGACAGTCTCTGCCAAGCTTATGGAATTGTGTGTTTCTAGCTCACTTTGCCAGAGTAGTTTTCAAAAGGTAAAAGCACACCCAGAGCCTGTCTTTCTTCTGACTAAACGCCAAGTGGCCCTGCCAGCTGTTCAATGACCTGACAGAGTCGTGGTTTGCTGAGTCCTGGTGAAGTTACATCATGGCTTAAAAACAGCAGTGTGACGACCAGTATTTTTGAGAAAGCTCAGTGTGTATGAGAAATAGTGCACAGGAGAGGAATCTTTCCTTGTTCCTTGTAAGCACTGCAGATGTGGCTCACAGGGGAACATTACCTGGCCCAAAGGCAAGAGCATATCAGAAGCCTCTGTCTCCTGTGAGAAACCTGGGAAAAATCAACTGTAGGGTAACAGAAAACCAAAAACCTGGGAATTAAATTAGACCTCTGAGACTGCCCAATCTGAGTCCCTCCGAACAAATGAAACTGAGGCCCAGACTGGGAGCCAAGGCTCCCAGCAGCAGCCAGCTGGCTGACGCAGGGCTCCCCCTTCCCACCTGGCACTCCAGTCTCCACAGAAAGCCAGGGCTGCGTTAGTTCTATACCAATGAATCACACCAAGGCGACAGTGACAGATAACTGCAAACACCCACGGTACCATCCCCACGCTGGCACACCACACAGCTTCCACTTAAAAAAAACAACGGAGTCCCTTTCTTCATTATAGTCATATAGCACACAAAACTCAATTCACCTTGTATTTTAAAACTCAATTTCCAAATAAAGCCTTCAGGTAGAGTCCTGTTTTCTTCTCAGGCACACCCAGTCTGGGACCAGAAGCCCCAGGTCGGGGTAGAAGTTGGCATCTCCCCTCAGAAGCCAAGAAGTCTAGTGATCCTGCTGTGCCATATAAAAGTGAGAGGGGTCCATGTGGGGCTCTGGCCATGGTGTGGGGTTCTTAACACACTTCCCGGACTTAAGGCCCCTCTTCCCAAATTACAGCCCACCCAGGATTCAGCACCCAAGTTGAGGCCTTCACTGAACCTCTGAAGCTCATCCTGCCCCAGGGCGATGGGAAGATCCTGCAGACAGCCTGGGCCTGGGCCTCAGTTTGCTCATCTGTCAGGCTGAGGGGTTACTCTGGGTGATTTCAGGGTGCCTTCTGGCTCTGTTGTTCTGTATGAATCAGCTTTCCAAACGGGTTCCTTCTGTGTAGGTTACAGAAACCCTGGCAACCAACTCGTCATCCCTTACCCTGGCCTTCCTGAAGGGGGAAGCAGGCCACCTCCCACCTCCTGGTCTATGTCTGGGACTTGGCAGCCAAAGTACATCCCAGAAGGTAGGTGCGACTGCTGCACCAAAGAGTGGACACCCCCATTCCTTTCTATCCAGTCCGGGGAGAGGGAATTAATACAGGGTGGTCCAGGGGAGGCAAAGGGGCGAACATCAGGCAGTCTCCTTGCCCTCAGGTTCCCAGGCCTGGCTTGGCACAGGGACTTCCTTGTCCCTCTGATCACCCATTCCAGGAGACCCGTGGGTGTCCAGGAAAAGCTCCTAGATCAGCGCCCTTCCACGGCCCTTCCCCAGCCCAGGACTTGGCCCTGTGGCCTCAGAGGAGGCAGTCAGCTCCCCGAGGGGCCTCCAGATCCCAGGGCCGGCTGCGCTGACCCCTGATTTCCTTGGCCTTCCCCACGGGAGCGGAGGGAGGGTTCCCAAAAGAGAATCGCCCACGGAACCGCAGCCCACGCGCAGTCACTCAGCAACTCGGTGCCCTACACACGCTGCCGCCTCACCTTTCGGACCTCAGGCTCCTGAGCTGCGAAACGGGGGTTCGAGTCCCCAACCCGCGGTGTCAGCGCAATTCAAACGAGCGCACCCTGCGCGCAGCTCGGCCGCCCTCCACCTGAGACAGGGCCAACGGCACACGCCCCCACGCCGGCGCCGTTTCAAGCAGAGGAGTCCAGCGGCCCAGGGAACTCCCGGC